AAAAAAAAAAAAGAAAAAAGAAAAAAAGACAAAAAAAAAAAAAGGCTCTCACTGTTGGGCAGGTCTCTGCAACCCTCTAACTCTGAATCCAGTAGCCACAGCGATCGGGTTACTGTAAGTCCCAGTAATGCTCAGTGTACTGTTTGTATAGGCCAGGGGTCCATGTCAGATTTTCCCCCAATCATTTCATTTTTTGAGGCAGGGTCTCTCACCTAACCATCCTCAATTCATGTAGATTGACCACAAGCCCCAGGAATGCTCCTGTTCTCACCTCCTCAGAGCTCAGAGCACACAGGGAGCAGTCTGGCGCAGCTGTCTGAGGACGCTGGGGTGGAGTGCAGGTCCTTATGTCTGCCGAGTCTTTTGCCCACCTAGTGAGCCATTCCCCACCCTCACCATCCTCACAGGAACGGCACAGAAGCTCGGCACAATGGTGTATGCTTAGTTTTGAAACAAACAACCAAAACCAGACTTTTGGACCTTGTACTTTGATATATTTTAATAACGTATAGTTCCCTGCCCTTTATGAAGTGGAATCTAAAAGAGAGAGAGAGAGAGAGATTCATAAATAACAGCTCTCACACTGCAAAAGGAAGAGGTAGTTGAAACTAGTGGGCACTATCAAGTGTCCCTCAAGGAATCCTTCTATAAACCAAGTGTTCATGTGTCCTCACACCTCTTAATTGACACATGGTCTTACTGTGTAGCCCTGGCAAGCCTGGAACTCCGTAAGTAGACCAGGGTGACCTCAAACTCAGAAAGATTCACCTGCCTCTGCTCCCTGAGTGCTGGGATCAAAGGCATGTGCTAACACACGGCACCACAAGTTTCTGAAGACATAAATTACCACCTCACTCCTCGGTTTGTGCCTTTCCACTGCACACTGAATTAAATCCCAAACGTCTACCATTTTGTACAAGGTGTGGCCTAAAATGATTCCTCCTACCTCTTCAACCTCTCTCGCTGTCACCTGTGAAGCTTCAACCGCTTTGGTTAGTCTGTAAGCTCTCTTAACTCATCACTCAGGTGATGAGTTAAACCTCCATCACTCAGGTAAGTTTTTTTTTTATTATATTATTTTTTTGGAGGGGGGGATTTCTCTGTGTACTTTTGGTGCCTGTCCTGGATCTCGCTCTGTAGACCAGGCTGGCCTCGAACTCAGATCCACCTGTGTCTGCCTCCTGAGTGCTGGGATTAAAGGCGTGGGCCACCACCGCCTCGCTTCAGATAAGCATTAACTTATTGATATCCTTACCTTTTGTGCACTTGCCTGTAAACTCTTAAGGACAAGGGTGTCTGTCTTACCCAACAGTATGTACCCGGCACACAGAAAAAAAAAAAAAGGGGGGGGGGGGTTTAGTAAATGCAGAAATTCAACGACAAAAACTGGTGTGCCAAACTCGAAAGACTATGACAGAAAAATAGGGGTAGGGCTGGAGAAATGGCTTAATGGTTCGGAGCACTTGCTCCTGCAGAGGTTCCGGGGATTCAATCTCAGCAGCCACAGGGTGGCTCACAACCATCTATAACTTCAATTCCAAGGCTTCGGCTACCCTCTTCTGACCTCTTTGTGCACTAGGTATGCACATACATTATAAATGCGGACAAAACACTCATACATACAAAATTTAAAAAAAAAAAAAGAAAGAAAGCTACAGATAGTTTGCCCCTTAATCGTAACTAAGCCCTTGCATCCAGCACTTTGGATGAGACTGGTAAAATAAGGATGAAAAGGTCAAGACAGGGAACCAATCTGGGAAGATCTTCCTGATTCCTGCGGACGGGGATGTTGACAGCTCTGAGATGTCTTCTATACATTTGTTTGTGGGGGTCTCCATTTTACTGAGAACCCTGCCAGATGCTGAAACCCCGTGTTGCTTACATGCCTAGCATATTTGGAATAGGATAAAAAAAAAATTGTCACCAAGCATTTAATGGATTAAAAATAACCTCAAAGCTCAGGCTTTGGAGTGAGAATTCTCAATTCAAGTTGAAACCGTGCGTCTCCTGGGTAGAATCTTGGTAAAATTCACGCAGGTTTCCTCCACGATTACATGACATACTGCAAAGAGGAACTTAAACAGTTAGCTCTCGCTCATCGTTATTAAACTACAACTTAACGGGCACAACCAGCCTTTCTAGTCCCCAAGTTCTCGTGCTGCCAACTCCCCTGTTGGGAGTCGCAAGGCTGGTACCTAGACGGAATTGCGGTCCCATCATCACAGCACGACAAAGGCACCAACCAAAAATGGCGACTTGGAAGCCATCCGAGGCCGTCGATTACCGGTCGCGCAAGTGAAAGATAGGAGCCGGAAAGAAACAGCTAGGGCAGGGATTCACGCCGAGGTAGGAGACGCAGAGCTCGCCCACGCCAGCAAGCAGCCGCACGCAGCAGACGGCACGACCAGCTAGCTAAATCCAGCGCCAGCCTCACAGCTCAACCACGTGTCGAAGTGAAGTCTGCGCCTGCGCAAGGCAAGGCGCGCGCCCGGCGGCCGGAAGAGCCGCGCGTTTCCGGGTTGGAGGCGGGGAGCGGTGCCGGAAGTGCTTGGGGAGGGCCGCGCAGTCGGACCGGCTGCTGAGACGAAAGCTTCACTGGGGCAGTCTCCGCATATCATGGGGAGTTAGCCGAGCAGCCTGTGAGTCTTGGGCCCTGGCAGTCGAGCACGAAGGGCGGGAGGAGGGCGTCAGGACCCAGACCCACAGCGGGTCAGTGCTGGAAGAACTAGGTTGTGGAAGAGACGGGGCTGTGAGGAGCCAAGCTCTTGGGACGGGGCTTGAGGGGTTCGGGCTCGCAGAAGCAGCGGCTGTTGGGGACTCGGGCTCTGAACGAGACTTAGGGAACGAGGACGTTTGTGAGTTCTGCGGCATCCGAGGGAAAGCCGTTTGAGAGGGACAGGATGGTGAGGATCGTACTTTCTAGGAGGCGAGGGTAGGGTCGAAACGGGGTTTGAAGACACGGGCTCCAGAGAGGTAAAAGTGGAGCAGCGAATGGTCTCGGGCTCCTCCGAGACAGAAGCGGGAGAGCAAAGTCCCAGCTCCTAAGGATTCAGAAACAGGGGCAGCAAAGGCTTAGGAACCGAAGAGACAGAAGCGAGCAGAGAAGACTTGAATTTGGGAGGGAATAGAAACGGGCAGTGAGGACTGGGTCTACTTTGGGACGGAATCGGGGCTTTCGGACTAAGAGTTCCTGAAGGGACAGGGCTGTGAGGACCCGAGCTCTTAAAAGTGGAGGATCTAAGGGGGTCGTGGCTGGGAAATCAGCCCCTAAGGGAAAGAGGTTTGAAAAGATTCAGCGATCTGTTCTCTGTACCCAGAGTGATAAAAGGTATATTCGGGGGAAGACTTCTTGGCGCTGCCTATTTGGCTTTTTGCAGTTAGGCTTTTCTTGTGGCAGATAGTCAATCTAGAAAACCCATATGAAACATCTTCGTTTTTCTTCTTCACTATTGTAAACTGGATGTGAAGTTGGAAGCAGTTTGAATTCAGTTCTATACTTGATAAGTGCCTTAAGCCCCATTCCATTCAGCCCTATTGGGCACAGATCCCTGTACCACAAGCAAACTGTCATAGACGGAAGGGCAGCAAAAGACCACTTTGAATTCTTTAAAAGGAAAGGAGGGTCCAAAGAAGGATTAGGGTCATGGTGAGCCAATTCTTAGGTTATTTAGTACTCTTACATGTGCAGCAATTAAGAGATGCTTGGTTCAAATTACTTGAATAAATGCTTTTAGAATCTCTACCCTCAAACTCAGAAGGAGCATTTTTGCAGATTCTAATACTTTGATTACTATTAATGGCATCGACATAAGATACAGTAAATGTCACAAGTGAGGAAGTGAGCGAACCTCTAAGCCAACCTTTAAGTGAAATGCATCTTATTCATTTTTCAGTAAGTTGTTTGAGAAAGTCACAAATAAGTGTGGCCTGTATTTTTCGCAGGAACATTCTTAGAAGACTGCCGTGGACCCAGCCCTTTCCCTTCATAATATCCGTGACTAAAACCTCCTCAGATGAATCAGGCACAACCTGAGCACTTGTTTTGTTTGAGTTTCTCTGTGTAGCCCTGGCTGTCCTGGATCTCACTCTGTAGACCAGGCTGGCCTCGAACTCGCAGAGATCTGCCTGCCTCTGCCTCCCGAGTGCTGCGATTAAAGGTGTGCATCACCGCCCAGCAATTGAAGCACTTGCCAGTATTCCATCACTTCCTTATCACAGCTCCATATTAAGTATTGTTAGCTCTATTGTACATGTGAGTGTGTCCAAAGAGACTAAGAACTTGGCCTTAATGACATAGGAGTGAGTGATTTAGTCCCAGATGTGCCTCTAAAACTCCTTTAACTTTTCTAAGTGTATTTCCTTCCATGTCTAGTTTGAATGTCAACAAAATAAATAGAATAGGTATACAGAGCCTGCCACTGAATGAAAGAAAGCACGCCTCTCCTCCTTCGCTCCTCCTTCCCCAACCATTTAGCTCCCCCTAGCCTGGAAATTGCTATGTAGACCAGGCTGGCCTCAAATGCAAGAGATCCACCTGCCTCTGCCTCCTGAGTGTTGGGGTTATAGGCAGCACCACCACACCTAGCTTCCTCATCTCCTTCTTAACTGTTTTTAATTTCTTTTTTTTTTTCTTTTTTTTTTTTTTTTTGGGTTTTTCGAGACAGGGTTTCTCTGTGTAGCTTTGCGCCTTTCCTGGGACTCAGTTGGTAGCCCAGGCTGGCCTCGAACTCACAGAGATCCGCCTGCCTCTGCCTCCCAAGTGCTGGGATTAAAGGCGTGCGCCACCACCGCCTGGCCCTGTTTTTAATTTCAAAGACTGTAACTTCTAAGAGACTTCTGTAGTGTAGTAGTTGAGATCTAATTCCTGTATTTTCACAGAAGCATAGACATTCAAGGTAGAAAAAAGAAAAGGAACATTTATAGATTCTTTCGGTACAATAGAGTAAGATGTGTTTAATTTTTTGAAAATCAGGGGTACATCAGATTAACTTTCCAGTTAATTGCTAGCATGCACTAGATCTTGTGGACACTTAGGCTAACATAGCCAGGTGTCATGGTGCTTGCCTGCAATCCCATTGTTTTGGAGGTGGAGGCAGGAAAATCCAGAGTTCAATGTCAACATGAGACTGTGTCTCAAAAGAAAAAATTACTTGAGATATAAAGGTGATTGCCACCAAGGCTGATCCCTGAGTCCTGCAAAATAGAAGGAGTAAACCAACTCTTAGAATTATCCTCTGACCACATATGCACAGACACACTAAATAAATGAATAAAGGAAAACAAGGTTTGGGTTTTTTGGTTTGTTGGTTGGTTTGTTTTGGTTTTTCGAGACAGGGTTTCTCTGTGTAGCCCTGGCTGTATTGGAACTCACAGAGATCCACTGCCTCTGCCTCCTGGTTGCTGAGACTAATGGCGTGGGCCACCATTGAGTGGTGGGTCTATTTTTTGTTTTTCTTTTTTTTTTTTTAAGAAAAAGAAAATTAGATTAACATACTTGAAGGTATTATTTTCTCAGTAGCTTAGCTGATACTTTTTTTTTCCAAGACAGGAGGATTTCTCTGTTTTATCCTTGCTGTTTTGAAATTCACTTTGTAGACCAGGCAGACTCAGAGATCTGTCTGCCTTTGCCTCCTGACTGCTGGGCTTAGGTCCTATTATTTTTTTAAGGCTTTCATTAACATCAAGGAGACACACACCAGGCCCACAGAGAAAGACCCACAAAGCAGAGAGAGGATTTGGGAAGTCAACGCTCCTGGCACTATTTTTTTTTCTTTAAAGATTTACTTATATATTTATTTTTTCATTATTGGGAAAGGGGTATTGAGACAGGGTATCTCCAAGTCCTGGCAGTCCTGGAACTCTGTGAAGATCAGGCTGGCCTCTAACTCAGAGATCCACCTCCTAAATGCTGGGAGTAAAGGAATTCACTACCACACCTAGATGCTTATTTTTTTTTATGTGTATGCGTGTTCTGTCTCAGTGCGCCGCGGCCCCCCCCCCCTTTTTTGAGACAGGGTGTCTCTGTGCAGCAACAAGTGCTGTTAACCACTGACTCATCTCTCCAGCTCCTGGTACTATTTTCAAATGCTTGTATAAAGTGATCAGAATTTATTTATATCACATTATGAGAGAAAGCAAGCCCATATCACCATCTTGTTAAGTATAATGGGGGTTGGCTTGTCTTTTTAAGAGAGGATCTCTCAGCCGGGCGGTGGTGGCGCACGCCTTTACTCCCAGCACTCGGGAGGCAGAGGCAGGCAGATCTCTGTGAGTTCAAGGCCAGCCTGGTCT